GAGACAAAGGAGGAAAAAGCAGTGCTGCTGTCAGCTCCAAGGGCCTCCTGTCCTCAGGCCTGGATCCTCCCAGAGCAGTGCAGCGCAGGCTTTGTTAGGGCCAGCACCACCGACACAACTTGTCCTGTGTCTGGGTGCACCAACTGCAACAGCACAACTTCCAGAAAAGGAGGGAGTTGCACCTGCAGAGCACTCTGGATTTGCACAGAGGTGGCTCCCCAGGACAAAAATCCCTTGCACTTGCTGGGCAAGGAAGAAGGAGAATGGAGGGAAAAGTTTTGGTTTGATCTGAAGAGTAAAACTGTACCTTGTGCAGGTGATCCTGTGAGTGCTGGAGCTGCTTCCCTGTGGATGGGGGTTAATGCCCGGAGCCTTGGCTGTGTAGCAAGGCAGGAGTGCCAGCTGAAGCCCAGCAGCTGCAGCATTCTCCATGTAGGTTTCTGGGATCACACGTGTGTTGATTTCACACATTTTCTTCCGTGACAGCATTTACCAGATGTTCTTATCCTGGGCTAACTACAGCCAGAGTACTGCAGGAACACGCCTAAGACCACTGCACCCCTGTCAAACACAGGTCAGTCGTTTTGCAGTTGTGGAGAGGGGAGCTTGTGTAAGCCCCACTGCTTTAGGATGTGGGCCAGAACATGGAAACTGCTTGTGCAGGGCAGGAAAAGAGCCTTCATTGCCTGTGCCAGAGACAGGGACTTACACGTTGTAACAGCTGGACAAACACACCAAAAATCGGCATGCTCTAAAATGCTGGTAGGAGAAAGTGAGGACACTTGGGACACTGGGATGCACGATCCACTTCAACAGAAATGGCTCCTGGGGGGCAGATTTTCCATTAACCCCTGCAGTAGGTAGGAAGGCTGCTGGAGGGGCAGCCTCTTGTCCCCCTCACACCTCTGCTTTTCCGCTGCTTTTCCCACCAGCTCACTCATCTGCCACTCCGGGCCTGGGGATGTGGAAGGCTCAGGGTGGGTCACTTTCTGCCCCGTCCTCATTTTCCTTTCACGTTTCCTTTGAGCTGCTGCTCAGTGACTCAGAGATGTTCCAGCACAAAATGGCCTGTCACTCACTCCCTCAGATGGTTCCCAAACTTTTTTTCTCCCTTCTTCTGGAGGCAATGGACTGATAACTTGCTTTTTCCAAAACTCTAAGGCACCTGACTGAAGGCTGCAACCCCTCAGTGAAGGTAATAAATTATGAACAGATCCACAGCGTGAGAAACCTTGTTCTGGTAGGACATTTGATTGGTCAACAGACAAATATCTAGGTATGCACTGAAAAGAAACATAAACATGTAAAGGTGACTGTGTACACTTGTAGGTATTAATACTTCTTGATTAAATATTTCAATGCTTTTTGGGTATGTTGGCATGTAGTGAAGCTAAATGGAAAGACTCTTCAATGTGTAAGAGCTGATGTACTGGACTGCTACAAATACAGATCCGTTGTTAATCCACTGTGGTTATGAGTTTGTATTTCAAATCATCTGTATGACTTTCTTTTGTAAACGCATTTAAAATTTGCTTCCAAACCACAATTTCCAACATATCACTCTCCTTAATGCCACTCAGATCATGAAGTGACTCTTTGCCTAAAGCCCTCCTTCAGCAAGAATTACAGCAATTCGGGTTGGCACTTACATGAGCCATCCGCACCGCCTGGGCCTCGAGCAGCTGGTTCCAGCCTGCGTCTGCGACACCGCTGCACAGAAGCTGATCTCCAGCGCAGAAGCTGCGAGTTACACCGACGGGGAGGGAGATGTTGCAGGCATTACTGAAAGCCTCTCCATCCTGGTTTGAATGCCTTGTAGCTGTTGAAATACAGGTGCATTTGGACCCGGTATATCTGACTGTTTTCCAAATGCCTTTTGTAGCACTTCTTGGCCGCTAAGAAAAAAGGGGAGAAACCTCAAACATGTACCAGAAGCTGTGATATTATCTTTTTCCACCTGCACAGTTAGGCTGTTTTCCCTAGGAGCTTTTAACTGATACAGGAACTATATACTATGCTGGCAAAGCACTCCCTGGTGTGACTGCAGCTATGCCAGCAAAGCTGTGTTTTGTACCAGCGCAGGGCTGCTCTACCCCCACTCCCAAGTGGGACAAAACAGCATGGAAAAAACAACCGCACAGGAGCCACCAGACAAAGGCCCCACGTCGCGCTGCAGAGCTCTCAGCTGCAGCCCTGGCTGGGTGCAGCCCCGCCTCGGGAAGCTCAGCCCGTGCAAAACAGGGGCAGAGAGCAGCACTGCGCTCTGGCACGGGCTGAGGATCTGCATCTCTGGCAGCTGCGGATGTCCAGCGTGTCACAGATGCAGCCCTGTTATGAAGCACAAGAGCAGGTGGCTCTCCCTCTGCTGCCTTGCAGCAGCTTTCTCCCCCACACCCACACCAGGACCTTCCTTAGCCCATTAGAAAGCCAGTGCCACGAGAGCAGCATCGTGTGCCACCAGCGTGTGCTGCAATTATAACCACGACTTTTCATGTGGGCCTGCTTTTGTCACAGATACCACAGAGCATCCCAGAAGACTCATGCCGAGGGTCCCTGGACTTTGGTACATACGGCCTTACAAAAGCACGGAACGCAGCACTTGTCCATCAGTGGTCAAACACCACCCGAGTGCTGTAAGACGTGGAGCACCTGCAGGAGATGAGCACAGCTCAATTTTCTCCCAGCCCTGCGGGTGCAGCCCAGCCCCTCTCTGCTCTGACTCGCACTGCTCACAAAGCTCACCCACCAGCAGGAGGGACAAGGAAGAGGAAGCAGGGCCACAGCCCTCACTCTCAAGCTTCAGATGCCCCCACATTTTAACGCTAGGGTGGAAAACCAACCTATTACTCTCTGCCACTGTTGCCCTTCTTCCTGCCCGTGGGCTGCTCAGGGTGGCAGGCAGGCACTGGGCTGATTGATTGGCACCCCCAGGCTGAGCTCGGGCCCCAGCACCCTGGCCCCATGCCCACCTTCCCAGTACAGGGGGAGAAAATGATGTGCCTTGGAATCGGGTCCCCACATGGGGAGGTCTCCATCCCAGCACAGTGAATGCACACCTACTTTCAACTAGTCAGCAGGGAGATGCTGAGTCAAAGGCCCATGCTTCAGTACAGCACCAGGAAAGCAGCTTTCAGAGCTGTGTGGAAGCATCACTTCACCCCTGGGATACCCAACACAGAAACTTTTCCTGAACAAGCCCACATCTTCCTTTTCATTTCTGAAGCACTGCCCAGAAGTGATCAAGTGTCATTCCAAACCAGCATCAGGCAACAAGCCTCCCTTTCCAGTACCCCTGTGTGAGTACCTCTGCCCAGAGCTGCTGCCTTGCTTTCACCACAGACGAGGAGATAGCACATGGGCCACTACCAGAGCCCTGATGTGCATTTCCCGATAGCTTTTCTTGCAGGGGCACATCTATGAGCCTGTACTGCAAGACACTTCCATTTCACATCTTAAAATGTTGCCCATGAGTTAGGAATATGCATACATTATGAATGAGAATAATGAATTGGTGATTTCATTATCTAATTTTTCAGCACATAAGCATCTGTGCAGTGGCTTATGGAGAAATAATCAGGTAGAAAACTAACATTTTCTTGAAAAGGATCATTTTAATAAAATGAGTTTGTTGCATAAACAGTGAGCTAAGAATTATCTAGATAAAAACAGAACCGTCCTCTTCGAAATGAAGAAATGCTATTCCCAGTTTTGTTATAGTGGGGCTCATAAATTTCTTTATTAAAAATATTTTTGAGCCTGAAGTCTTTCCGAATGTCCATGCAATGCTGTTTTAGTGGAATGTCTGATAGATAAGTCTTCTATCCTGCCATTTGCCCCAGATGGGATGTTATGTCATCCTTTCCAGAAAGCTGAAAGGTTTTCTCAAGCTGGAATTTGTACCTGCTCTGGCACTTCCTACCAGAGGGACAGCCCCAACCGGGTCCTGCCCAGCAGCCCTCCGTTACGTGCAGTGTCCCACTGTCTTCAAGGAGCTACGTGTGCACAACGCAGCTACCAACATCAGCAAAGATCTAACCACTGAAGACATCTACAGTGTCAACAGTCTGTGCACTTGTTAATAAACTTGCTGTAGAAAGTAATTTGGGCAGCGACTATGCTTCCTTGAAACCATTTTCTACAAAACATCATTTACACGCTCCAAGCCCAGACTCAGTACAACGACAACCAGCAGAGCTCTAGATCAGCACGGAGATTTGAGAGGCTCTCAATGTGCATCTTTGCATCTATGCTGCAGTCTTGCCGAGCCTTGTACGCCGTGGGAAGGGGTAACCACATTCATTTCAGCTGTCACAACTGCTGAACATCTTTCAGGATGGTTCTGGTTCATTCAAGTAGGAGGTATCATGAGAACTGCATCTCACTAACTTTTCAAAGTCCCTAAAAGGACCATTTCTCTGACTGGAGATATAACTTGCCTCATTACCATATGGTATGTTAAAATAAAGGAAAAAAACCTGCTAATGAGCTCTATTAGGCTGTCTAACGGCAATTTCAAGTGTCAGAAGCATGGCAGTTACACAGAGATACAATACCTGTGGGCCTAGAAGTCCATGTGACTGAAATATGCAGTCCCCATGCAGGCCCTACAGGCCCGATCCAGCATTTGCACATTTGTATACAATCCCAAAAGCCAATTTTTTGGTATTGAAACCAAGAAGCACAGAGACAGGCTCAAGGCACCTATGACCAAGTCCCCTCCATTCTTGCTGATCTGGGTAAAGGTTACGAGTACCCCTAAGCTGGTTCCTCCTCGTGCCCAGGGTTGTAGTGCGTGTTCTTACCTCACCTCAGTCCGACACAGGAGGCGCATCCAGGAGAGAACAACGCTGGGCACAACAACAGGGCTTTTGCTTTTCTCCCATTCTTCCTTCCTCACGGGGTGCAGCTCTGCTGTGGGGTGAGCCATCGTTTGGCATGATGTGCACATGTGAGCCAGCAGCGGTGATACAGCACGGACTGACAGAAACTCTGACACTAAGCTCATGTATTCCCTTTATTGACTGTACTAGTTATTGCAATCAGATTAAGTCACATTTATAAAGCAGACCATCCAGTTGCACTGAAACCGATTATATTCATTACATAGTTTTAATCACTGTCCGGTGAACTGGCAAATCCAATCAAAGCATTAGTCTTTAATTAAAAAATTAAAAAGAAATATTCAGACAATAGCCAAGCAATCACATCACAATGCACAGTTACCTAAAATTGCAATTAAAAAGCAGTTTAAAAAAAATCACATCTAATTTTTAACTATCAATATAATACAAGAAGCAACAAAGGGCAACAGCATCAAAGCAGATTTATCTAACACTATAAATTCAGTCAGAAGCAGAAGCTCTAAAGTACACTAGCTGAAGCAGGACAATAAAAAATACTGAGCATGGAATACTTTTAATCTCTCCATTAATATTCATTTCCAGCTGCTTATAATAGCAGCGCCTCATGGCCAAATCATTAGAGTTTTACATCTGGGTTGCAAATGACACTTTGATTGGATGTAATGTTCAAATGGTCCTCCCCACTGTGCCACCGTCAAGTCTTCTGCAGAGAGGTGTCCTGTAGTGCCAGTGGCTCACTGTGCGTGCTGGCTCAATGTGTGGTTCTGGAAAGACGAAAAAAGGAGACATGCATAAGGGGCAGAATAATAGAAAGCATGCCCATACCCTCCTACTCAGTACCATTTATGCAGAGCTCGACATAAAAGCTTCTCAATTATTACAAAACAAAATGCAATAAAGAAAAAGTACTCATAAGTAACAGCTGCCAATATGACACATTTGCTTTGTTCTGATAGATCTGTTAATGCTGGCATGAACTTAGAAAAAAAAAAATTCTACAAGCCAAGTACAGCCGTGAGGGTTTCTTTTTTATTTTTTCTTCCTTCCCTCTTTCAATACATGTAAAGAAAGTGGTAACACTTCATGGGCAAAATCTGCCTTTAGGGATTCCCTTAACTGTAACAATTAAAAAAAAAAAATCTGAATCGCTGTGGGAACCCTTGCCATATTTTACTCTTTTATTCTCACTAGTAACGGGTGCAAGCACTGGCAGAGAGACACACCAGATTGTGACGCATACTTCTCAGTCCAAGAAATACTTCGGCAATAACAGCTGAACCACCAGTTCAGGCAAGGGGGATATTAATCCCCAGCAGAAAAAAGACTGGACATGTAACCCAGAAGTTAAATCTCTTTAAAGAACTGGCTTTGCTCTACACACTTCTTTCAGCAGTTTAGTCTTTTTGTTCCCTTTCTGGTAGATTTGTAACAGCCTCATGTCATCACGGTGTCTTGCATCAGAGGATGCTGACCTGTCCTGCCATTTTGTGCAGGAGCCAATGAATAGCGAAGCCAATCTCGGAAGCACATTTTCAGAGCAGCAGCAATCACCTGCATTTTGTGTGCTGACCGAAACCCCAGTCCTACACATAAGCACAGCTTTATTTGTATAATTTCTAACTATTGGAGCAAATAGTGAGGCGCTTCACGGTGAGCTTTTGTTGGGCAATCCCAGTTATAAAAATCCATGTGCGTTATTTCAAATCTGTGCAATTTCACTGGTCTCCATCCACCTAATAACAGAGCTGAGCAAGTCCGTCAGCTTGAGGAATACGTTTTTAAGCATGAAATTAATTTTGAATCTGATTATTTATTTACAATGACAGTGCTTTAAAATAAAGCTATTTTAACTTTTAATAAATCATCTGGTTCTTCTGTGTTATCCACAGCTACATCTCAATTCAGGGAAAAAAAAGTGATCCTCCACTTTATCCAGAGATGACATCTCCCTGATGAAAACCGTCTGTGCAAAGAGCTAGCGGGCGGCCTGCGATGCTCAGGCAGCGATGACCCCGTTTGCAGCCAGGATTTCTGGACTGTGCACTCCCAAGAGCTGACCACCAGGTGTCAGAAGTGCTGCTGACTTCCTAAATCATGTCAAAAGTTATCTGCGATATTGTACAGACGGGCGGCAAGGAAACTGCACGGTAGTGGTCAGGCTTTAACGTGACAAAAGGTTAGAGAGAAGACAGAAGTAGGATAGCTGGAGCACACCCAGAAGGATCCCTTGCGAAACTAAATGACAATCAACGGATGAAATAGCAAAATAACTGCATCTTGTTTAGCCTAACAGCAGCGCTGACAGCACAGCTCCAGCCAGCGATGCTAAGTATTTCTGAATCAAACAACAGAAGCACTGTCCAAAGATCTGAAAAGCTTATCAGGGGATAAAGCATTACATTAAAATCATGTCAAGTGAAGCCATAGTTGAAACAGCTTTCCTGTTAGACCAGTTAACAACACCAAACATAAAACCCGATGGCTTTTCATTTTACATTTTTACTTTTCATGCTATACATGGAAATTTTTCTGGCCTGAAAGAGGAATGACCTTTGCAGTGCTGGATGTTATTCTCAAATCAAGTAACAGAGTTATAGGGAAGGATGAATGAATGGAACCCTACAGACTAAGTGGCAGCACTGACAAGAAGCTTGTCCACTAAACCTAACCAGAAAAACATTCAAATGTTAAAGAACACAGAACACACAGAGCACTCTGTGCTCAGACAGTCCTCAGCATTTTAACAACGGGCATTTCTAGTGCACTTCATTACAATTCTATTTTTAGGTCATCCTGAATATCAATAAAAGGAGCAAAAGGTTTGCCGTCTTCCAATTGAAAGAAGGGCTGTTCATGGCAGACAAATCCATACTTATTTAGGCAGTGTCATTTAAAAGATAATGCACAATCAGCACTAGATGCATGACGCGCAGTCTACAGTCAGGGAACATGATTTCAAACTTGTGTGGCTGCTGCATTGATTACACCAGGCAGGTCAATAAAGGAATGGTATGTGGCTCTAAATCTGATAATGAAGCTTTCATTGTGAGCCCTCCCTCCTCAAACGTAGGTTAATAATATGTTCTGAACACTCCTAATACAATGAATGTACTGTTTTTGTGAACACAGTTTACATGAAGACAAACAAATCCTGCAGCCATTCAGAGCTGAACGAGACAGGAGCTGAGGAGCTAAACATGCGATAGACCCAAGTGTGGATGTATACCCGTACCCGCACACTTCATATGTAGATCTTTATTTCCTCTTAATATCTTGGGAACACACCATTTATTCCCTTTGCAAGCACTCCTGGCAATCAATATGGCAACTAATCAAAGGACCAGGCAGTTAATAAATAGAGCCACATCTTACAAAGGATCTCACACGTATCTGTGGTGCCTACAGACACAAGAGCCCGTGTGCACCGAACCCCTCCTCTGCCCGTCAGAGAGGCAGATCCTGCTCAAGCCATACCCACTCGAAGCACACATCCTGCCCACACACGGGCTGCTGAGCACCAGACACCAAGTTCCTGCGTGGGCAAAAGCCACGAAGGCCAGGAGGGACGGGGAGCTTTGAAGCATGCAATGCTATGGGAATGCCTCCACCCAAGATTTCTGATCAGCAAACTTCATGCCCCTTTTCAACAGGAGGGCAGGCTAGCAGGAAGCAGCTCTGATGTAATTTTTCAGCTCTAGAGTTTATGTTTAAAGAAAATAATAATACTCTTAATGGTGATTTCCAAAGGAAAATACAGCAGGCACAATAAGGAGGGCTCTCCAGGCATGCTTTCACATGTATTTGCATGTGCCTACCTGCACACGAGCACAGCCACACGTGTATGCACTTGGGGGCTGGCAGGAGGCAGGACATAATTTGGAAGCTGAGCATTAAAAATGGCTCTTTCCAGCTCCTGTTAGGTCCCCAGGTTTATGCATGGCTCACAGCTGATACCCCACAGAATACATCATTCTGAGACATTATTGCAGCTGGAAAACTCTACAGCAGCACTGAGTCACCTGTCAAGATCAAGTAAGTCACAGCTTATTTATAGGGCTACGTTGGGATTTTTTTTCCCCCCCTTTTCTTAATAATGATGCAAAATGGATAGCAATTCTGTTCGCCACATCATTGGGAAGATGCAGCCACCCTGAGCCCCAGGGCTGTCTTGGTGTTTAAGTGGAATTTTCTACTCGCTGCACAATCCCCAGATGAACTATTTGCGGAAGTATCTGTGACCAAGGAACTGGGTGACGGGTTTCGCAGGAAATAAAAAGATTTCAAGGAATGGTTGATTACTGTCCTTGTACATACTGATCACCCTCCACGTCTTCCCTGGGGACACCCCCTGCCTGCCCTTTGGATGGGGATCAAGCCGTTTGTGCAGGACAGCTACAATGAATATTTCTCTCTTTCTGCATGCATTATCACGAAAACACTAGCATGACATTCTCCATTTTCAGATCACTATGTCAAGAACAGCATCAGGCTTGAGAGATGATCCCTTACAGCAGTTAAAGGAAACCTTACGAGCTATATAAAGATAGAGAGAAAAAACACAGAAAAGCAGCACGTGACGGAGCAAAGCTCCAACCAAGCCAGGCAGTCACGCTGGGAGTCTCCCACGCTGCAACAAAATTCCCTGCCAACAAGTCACAGGTGTACTACACAGGAGCAGGTGAAAAAAATAAAACGCAACTGCGAGGGGTGTGATAATGGTTTGAGGCCATAATACATCCAGTCTATAGTGCCATTGTGCATCTGTTACGTATTTAGGTGTTTCGTACCAGCCATTTCGGAGGGGTACTGCCTGTGTGTGAGCACACACACCTACAAGACCATTACGTTATGAAGGGGTAAGAAACGGCACAAGGCTGGCGATGCCCACCACCCTCCAACAAAATTCCTCAGCTTTCTACTGTTTTCCATAGAGGTTGGGACTCAGATAAAGGTTATAAAGCCTCTCCCTCATTCCAAATCCCATTAAAATGATCAGAAACGGTTCCTCAGATCTTTTTGGTAGGAATTATGGAGATAGCAGGTTCACGTGACAAACAGCCACCACCAACTGGTGACCGCTGCCAGCTGCTGTGGCACCACAAAGCCACCCGGACTGGAAGCACCGTCTGCAGCGGTGCCGCATGAGCACAGCTGTGTGGTCACACAACACTGAAGGTAATTCCTGCTAATTGCTGGATTTCCCCAGAGTGCAGGGTCCTCCAGATCCAGGCGAGAGCCCCAGCAGCCCCTCTCCCAGCTGCTCCCCATGCCCGGGGCAGGTTCCCTCCCCAGAGGCCGCACCAGGCACTGGGGGCTCCTGGCTGGCAGCGACTGTGCTGTGCCCCCTCCTCTGCCCCTCATGGAGCAGGGCTGGGGGGGGACAATCCCTCCATTTAACATCAACACGTGCGGTTTCTAGTCAAAACCTAAACCTCACATTCAGCTGCTGGCTTGAGACCAAGGTTCAAGTCTCACATTCAAACATATATGTATAAAAAAGACCAAACAAAAACTCCAAACTGCTACAAACAGAAGTTGCAGTGTCTAAATATTTATGAAATACCATCTGCAGCATTCTTTTTTTTCAAATGCTTTGTATCATTTGAATTCAAACTGGCCCAAGAATTTCTCAGGCATTATTCCTCACTGTATGTACATAAGCGCACACACGTGTGCAGGTAGTATCTCCCTCTAACAGCAATCCACAGAGATCAAAATCTTTACGCCTTGACTTTATAAAGAGATTACTTCAGGCAGAGGACAC